GAGTTCTTTAATCCTTAACTAGTTGTAAGGTACGCAATAATTATCGTGTTTAACTGGACACAAGGCCACAATTATAAAGCATTCAATGCTGATAAAACTCAGTTTTCAGTAATCAGGTCAACCTGACTAACTCTATATTGCCCCATGTTGAGGCAAAACTGAGTTACGAGAGACTCCCGAATGTCCCGAATTGTAAAGTGATATATGCCGACAAAGTTAAGAGCAAATACAATAATTGAAATGAGAATGGAACCCGTTAAGAAAAGCTTTAGTGATATCAGCTAATGAGATCGCCACAATGAAAGTAGAATGGATACCGGATGTAATTATAGAATCTTGAAAGGAAAACAGTAAACAATGCCAAAGAAAGGTACAGAATATAGTACATTACACAAAAGAATTTGAAAAAAAATCAAGAGAGGTTGACATAATGACCATCACATATATGCATAAAATTATAAGAGAAATAACAGGACAAAGGATCTACCAATCGGCAATCAAAAGAGGGAACGCTGAAAACAGAAAAAAATATACTTCAAAGGTGGAAAGGATACGTCAGAAAACTATTCCAGAACGAAATAGAAAAAGAAAAATACACAAAAAAACCTGTAAGATTAATTTTTGAAGTAACCTCAACACTTGCGAAGAGGAACAGAAACAATGCACCAGGAACTAAAGCTTGTGGCTTTAGACAATTTCGGCATTGATAAAATTACTGAAATACGAAATTAAATATAAAACAGTGGTGAAATACCGGAAACTCTTAGTAAATCTATTTTTATATCGTTGCTGCAAAAGCCAGGTGGAGGTGAATGTATGTTCAATCTAAAAATTAGTCTCATGAACTGTAAAATGAAACGTCACCGAATTTTAATGAATAGAGCGCGATACAACGGGACAAGAACAATGCGTTTATCCTAAAGATAGACAAATAAGGAATGCAATATTTATGATTGGAATGATAACAGAGAGATGAATACAAATGCAGAAAGATGTATAAATGTATTTTATGGATTATGAAGAAGCCTTTGATAAGGTACGGCACAAAGAACTGCTAGAAAAACTTGATATATTTGGGGATGATATTAGAATAATCCTGAACGTATGCTTGATCGATTCAGTAAATACACAAAAATTATGGGACTTAAGAAAACGATTTATCTTTTAACCAGAATTATTCAAACTTAACAGCGGGCCAATCCTGAGAGAACTAGACGTCCTACTAGATTTTATTATTGGTGAATGTAAACGTCATGTAAGCTACACTGATATCACTGTGGAAATACGAGAGAAGGCATTCTAGGAAAGTGAGAAGAAAAGCAATTGGAAGAAGACAAAATGTATGGTTGTCAGTAAGAGGAAGAGCCTAATTTGTAAAATACGAATTGAAGATGGCAAAATCGAGCAAATCTGAAAATATAAATATATGGGAAATGTTTTAACAGCGGACACAAAATGTCACAGCAAAATCTATTTGCTTATTGGGATAGCAAAATATAATTTCCAAAATCAAGGTATTTATTAAGAAACAGAAAAGAGTTCTGAACTGATATTTAATATCGATTCTCTTATGGCAGCGAATGCTGGGCAATCCCCTCACATATGAAGAAGAGACGTGAGACAACAGAAATATATTTTTACAGAAGGATTTTGAGAATATCACGCTGAATACGTGAGTAATGACGGACTTTAAAGGCAATGAAAACAAGAAAAGCGCTTATGATTAGAATCAGAAATATGTAGTCGGAATTTCCACGGCACGTAATGAGGTAAGAGCGTTTGGAGAATTTCGCATTTAGAAGCCATATTGAAGACAAGAGAAAAATAATGGATCACCTAGCTAACAAACTTGTGTACATTGATGGGAAAAGAAGAAGTTAGAGGGATAGTAAAAAGACAAATATTTCGAAGATTTGCAAAAGGTTTTTTACTGTACTGTACTGATGCGGCATTCACCCTGGGCGGATTGAGCCGGCTTCTTCCTGTTATGAGAAGAAGATTTTTGGGATAAATTACAGAAGTAGGGTACCCAGGCCTACTCGGATAACGCTCTTGCTTGCCGCGGGGTTCCCACAGACGCAGAGACAGGAACGACCCGAAGCCGCCGGTTACCGATGCAGACGCTCCTTGGATTTTCACCAGAGCCCTTGTTAGCCGGCGTGTGTGTCAGACCTGTCCGCCTTGGGTGGCCCTACCAGGAACAAAGTTCCGGGCGGCATAGCTCTGACACTACCGTTTACACCCCCCCACCGACTGTGAGGTAAGGGTTGGACTTTGGGGGCTTACAGTACCAGGTGTTCCCAAGCGGTCCCCCATCTAAGTACTGACCTGGCTCTACGATGCTTAACTTCGGTGATCGAACGAGAACCGGTGTTTTCAGCGTGATTTGACCGTAAGCAAAAGATTTTTTAGAGAACCATGATTGCCAACGCCCAGAAAAGACATGAAACATAGGGTAAAAACTCAATACAGAATGTCCACAAAGTCTTCTTGCTTGATAAGGCATTTATAACAAATAGGGCAACAGTTTCTATTGAACGTGGTTGCAGTTGGTCACTAATTTCTTGCAAGAGTCGCTACTTTTAACGGGTGAAGTGGTTTAAGAATTGTTACGAAGGGGTGGCGAACTTTCAAAAAAGACAAATCTAACACATGGAGGAATTTTAATATACAGAATGCCCACAAAGACTTCAGATAATTTCAAAAAGTCATTACGAAAAATCTTAAAACAGGTGGCGACTATATTTTTGTTGTATATTAATATGTTATATATAAAGTCATTTTAATATTAATAGTTTTATTAATGTTGTGTTTTTTATGATTCAGACTGCAATTAAATCATTACCAGGAGAAACTCCTGGTAATTCTTGTATGTAAATAACTATTCCACGATTTATCGAAACAAATTCGGATATTTAAACACGTAGAAATCGCAGAGCTAAATATCAAAAAAAAAAAAAAAAAGCTCCGTCATTTCTTTTATAGTCGATTTTAATGACTTTACGGACAATCTGTATATTTATATGGAATGAGGCTTTCTTTGATATTCTGATTTGACACTCGTAACTTAGGCGTTAATCGTATTAATGCTATTCCTCAAAAACTAATTCAGTATCGTCACGCCTTTTTTTCGTTGAGATGTGATAGCAAAGAGGAAAGAAATGGGACTCCATCAGAAACTAAATTACACTTTTGAAGAAACAGGTATTATTCACAGCAGTGTACGGAATACAAAGCGGGACTTTCTAAAATGGGGAGGGTCCCTAATTAAGGTAATTTTGTAGGTTGAATACTACAAACCATTAAGAGCATTTGATATTTACTATATTAAATATCGCTAATATTTTTCGAATATGAAGAGAAATAGACACTAACACATTTGGTTTTATTTATAGCGAAATTAAAAAACGAAACAAAAACAAGAATTCTATGAAAATTCGATAATGAATTAATGTTGAGTTCCAGCCTTCGAATAGAGACTTTGTATTCATAGTTACACATTTTTTTTTATACAGGAAGACTGACGCAATAAATTCAATTACTGCGCAACATCTATTATAATTTCAGTGTGAAGATATTTCATCAATGAATGCTTGTCTTGCAAAGACATTTATTAGTGGTCAAGCCATTAGGTTTGAACTTGTTTCACGAACAGATCATTTTAAGTATCGAACAATAGTAGCATCCCAGGAGCGTTCTTTTTAACAGATCAAGTGAATAAAATGAAACGCAACAGATACTCAGATGAATAAAAGATCAGCTAGAAACCATTGATTACGCTGTTGTGCAAATTAATTGAAGTAACCACTTTAGTTTCCTTTCTTTCACCATATTATATCCACTGGAGTAACAGGGTGCAATCGATTTCTATTTTCCTTAGATTAGGTCATTTGCAGTAGTCTGCCGTAAAATGAATCTATTTTCAAAGATTTATTACAACGTTTCGGCCGTTTAACGCTCCGAGCTTCGTTCTGAGATGAGGTATTATGTACACTATTATCCTCAAGGACACATCGCACAGTGGACGAAGCCATTGGTTAGATCCAGTGACAGGATCCAAAGATTGTGAGTTCATAACCTGGTTATGGCGGCGAAGAACTTGGAGAAGAGAATTAACAAGAGATAACTAATAACTGACATCCATTAGACATGGCACGTGGAACTAGAACAGTCTACCCCTGTGAGCGAAATTAAGGGTTCAGTTCGACATTCCAACCACCTTAAGAAGGCCGGAGCGCACAACGGCCGAAACGTTGTGATAAATATGGTGACAAAGATGAGGACAATAGTCCGAATAATGTAAATAATGTACATAATACATCATCTCAGAAATATAGACAGATCCTGAAGGAGGCCGGAGCGTACAACGGCCGAAACGTTGTGATAAATATGGCAACAAAGATGTTGACAATACTCCGAATAATGTAAATAGTGTACATAATACTTCACCTCAGAAATATAGACAGATAGTGAAAGGCCGAAACGTTGTAATAAATATTGCAACAAAGATGAGGACAATAGTCCGAATAATGTAAATAGTGTACATAATACCTCATCTCATAAATATAGACAGATACTAAAGGTCCGAAACGTTGTGATAAATATGGCGACAAAGATGAAGACAATAGTACAAATAATGTAAATAGGGTACATAATACCTCATCTCCGAAATATAGACAGATCATAAAACTCGTGATCATCGAACTTACTATTAATTGTCAGGGGCTGTAGCAAAAACCGACTTAATTTTAATTCCTGCTTTGCGATGTGTAGGTGATGTAATAGATAACGGCTCAGAATGAGAAATCTAGGAGCTCTGTGCTCGTATACTAATCGGGTTTCTTACATTCACTTACGAGCAAATAAGCTTGGGAAAGACAGGAATTTATAGATGTCTAGTCTTGAAATAACATCTAACATTTGTCTTTAATGAAAACATCGTAGTGCTCGTTATATCTTTATGATCATGATGGCAGACATCCTTTTTTCTTCTATGGCATTTGACCATATCACGGTGAAACACCGATTCCCGTATGATCACTGAAGTTAAGCATAGTCCTTCCTGGCCAGTACCTAGATGGGTAACCGCTTGGGAATATCATGTGCTGTAAACTTGGATGCGCAAGTGGTGTAATGGATAACGACTCGGAATTGTTTATTGGAGAGCTGGGCTTCAGTTAAAGAAGGGTTCGTTATATTGACTTATGCTTAAATACCGTTCGGGTGTGCGAGCGTCCATGAGGCCTTCATGCAGACGTGGCACTTATATTTTCGGTTTGAATGACACTCCTCTACTGCTGGAGTAGGTGATTTATATATATATATATATATATATATATATATATATATATATATATATATATATATATATATATATATATGTGTGTGTGTCCGCACGAATGAAAACCTAAATTAGAGTTGATCTTAGGTGACCACTCCACCTGGCTTCTCTGATATCACAGTGAAGGCAAATGGCCTCAGGTGACAGACACTCTACAATTTCTTCCAGGCATTTGCTTCCTTTGTTTTCAATTTCTTTCGAGAAGACAGCCTTTGTGGAAATTGCGCACTTGTTGCATGTTCTTGTCTTATTTCTCAGTCAATGATGTCTGCCTAAATTTGTAAAAGTCAGCTTAAATTACTTATCAGTCCCCTGCGAACTATTCAATATTTCCGTTCACTTTTCATACAAAATGCCAATCGAGGCGACTGTATATCTCGATCTACATTGGAAAAAGATCTTTTCGGAAGCCTTGCATAAAACCGTGGACAAACATTTTCAAGTGCTTCATATTCTGAATTGGAAATAAAACAGAACGGTTTGAATTGTTTTTTTTTTGTTTTTGTTTTGTAATTCGTTTATAAAATGAAGCCTGCGGGAAACAAAGATCAATTTTGAAAATCACATATCGGATGTGGCAATTGAGATTTCCACTTACTCCAAGAATCAATACCACCGGCTGTGAAACTGCCATTTTCTTGTTCAGTTTTGTATTGATTCCTTTTTGTTTTGTCTTAAATCTCCAATCTTTTATTCGGATTGCTTTTACTCACTTTCAATTTGTATTATTTTTTTCCCTGATTCCATTTCTTTTGATGTCTTCGTCCAATTTTTCTCCGTTATCTCTCACTTATAATCTTAACATACCCTTTTCCTGTTTATTTTTTATATATATTTTAACATATACAGGTTTTTTTTTAAATCATTTCTTTCTGTCATGGTCATCCATCTTTATTCTAGTTTTATTTATTTATTCGAGTCCCGTTTCCTTTTTTATTTTTATATTTTGTATCCTCCCGCTTTTTTTTTGTTATTTCTTTTTAGACTTTTTTTTCTTTTACTTCCAATGAAAATTGCTTCTGTTTTCTAATGGAAACAAGCGAATCAATTATTCTTAAACCTTTTACATTTCTTCATTTGAATCCGTCTGATCTCAGTTCTTTTTCATTTGTTTTCTTATCTTTCATTACTTCATAAATTTCCTTCATTCTTTCATTCACTCAGTTGTTCTTTCTTTATATTCAAATAGAGATTGGATTTTCTCTCTTTTTTTTCCTTTTCATTATTTCTTTTCTGGTTATAGAAAAATATTTCTTTTCATTCAGATTTAATATGGAATTTCTTTCTTTTTTCTGTCTTTTTCTTTCATTCTTATTTTTAATCTTTCTGTCTTTCTTCTTTCCTTCTTTTCTTTCTTAGTTCTTCTCTTTGTCTTCTTTTTTCTTATTTCTGTCTTCCTTCATTCTTTCTTTCCTTCTGTCATTCTTATTTCTTCTTTCTTTCCTTCATTTTTTTCTTTCTTTCATTTTTTTCTTCTTTCTTTCTTTCTTTCTTTCTTTTCTTTCTTTCTTTCTTTCTTTTCTCTCTTTCTTTCTTTCTTTCTGCTTTTATTCTTCGTGCTGTCTTTATTATTTTTAATCTATCTATCTTTATTTTCTTTCTTTCTTTTTCTTTCTTCTTACTGTTTTTCTTTTTTATTTAGAATTGGATTTCTTATTTTTCTTTCTTATTTCTTCTTCCTGTCTTTCTTCTAATTTCTTTCTTTCTTATTTCTGTTTCTCTTCTTATTTCTTTTTTCTTTTTTTCTAATTTCTTTCTGCCTTATTTCTTCTTTCTTATTTTTTTAATCTTTCTGTCTTTCTTCTTTCTTTCCTTTTTTGTCCGTTCTTTCTCATTTCTTCTGACTGTCTTTCTTTATTTCTCTCTTCCTTTCTCTTTATTTATGATTGGATTTCTTATTCTTTCTGTCTTTCTTCTAATTTCTTTCTTTTTCTTTCTTTCTTTCTTTCTTTCTTTCTTATTTCTTTATTTGCCTTTCTTTCTTTTAGGATAGGATTTCTTTCTTTTTCATTCTTTCTTTATTTCATTAATATTTTTCTTTTTTATTTCTGTCTTTCTTCTTATTTCTTCTTTTTGTTTTTTCTTTCCTCTTTCTTCTTTCTTTCTTATTTCGTCTTTCTTTTTCTCTTTCTTTCATTCTTTCTTTCTCTCTTTCTTTTTTTAGGATTGGATTTCTTTCTTTTCTTTATTGCATAAATATTTTGTTTCCGTTTTGTATTCAGGTTTAGAGTACACAATTCCCCCACCTTTTCTAAACGTCTTTCTATTCCTATTTAGGAAGGAGGCGATCTTTTCTTTATTTGTTCATAATTAGGAAGACATTGTTATCTTTTTCTTTTTTTTTATTATTTCTTCGCTATTTATAGATATAAAAAAATATTTTCATTCTTATATATTTAGGTGTGGATTTATATTTCTCCTCTTCTTTGTTTCAGATTCTTTCTATTTATATTTACGATAGGATTTATTTCCGTTTTTTTTCTAATTATTTCTGTCTAATTTATAGAGAGAAAGATAAATCTCATTTCTTTCATATTTAAAATAGAATTTCTTTAACGCTTTTTTCTTTCTATTTCTATTTAAGAAAGTATTCTCTCTTTTTCGTCCTCTTTACTTTTTTATTTCTCATATTTATTAAAAACGATAATTATTCTTGATCGTTCTGATTTCAAATGGAATATCTTTCTTTCTTTTACATATTTATTCCTGATTCTCTATTCTTCGTTTATTCAGAATTCATTTACCGTTTTCAATTATTTTGTCTAACTTTTCTACTGTAATATTTTTCGGTGCTAGCAGGTAAAGGAAAAGCACAGATGTGATCAAATCTATCTTTACTTTGAGCAAAACAAGAACGAATAACACATTCAGTAGTAACAACAATACAAACCCCCCGAAGAAATTGGCTGTGTATTCTGAAGTGGTTGTAATTGGTTGATGGAATTTAACCGTTCTAGTCTCTCCATCAACAGACAAAGAAGCCAAACAAATCAGACAGGATTTAATAGAATGTCCACTTCAGTCAACAACAAACGGTCATATTTGCGAAAACCCACTTTACTTACAATAATCCCCCTTCTTATTTGGATGCCTATAGTAATCATCTATCGTTTGACGTTCTATAAATTTTGATTTCGATAATAAAAACACAGATTTTATATTGAAGAGAGATATTTAAACAAATTATTATACTGACAATTTTTATTTGTTGTGACATTAATGCTTCCCTGAAAAAAGTTACTTAATGGACAGAATGAGTTACATTGATCTTAAAAATAAAAAAAAGGATGTGGGTAATCTATCTATCTATCTATCTATCTATCTATCTATCTATCTATCTATCTATCTATCTCAGTCTTTTCATATCTATCTATCTATCTTTCTATCTATCTATCTATCTATCTATCTATCTCATCTTTTCTATCTATCTATCTATCTATCTATCTATCTATCTATCTATCTCAGTCTTTCTATCTATCTATCTATCTATCTCTCTATCTATCTATCTATCTATCTATCTATCTATCTATCTCTCATCTTTTCATATCTATCTATCTATCTATCTATCTATCTATCTATCTCAGCCTCTTCATATCTATCTATCTATCTATCTATCTATCGATCTATCTATCTATCTATCTCAGTCTATCTTTTCCTTTGTAATTGTTCTGATGAATTTTCCTCTAAGCTATCTAGACTGTAATGAATTCACGTGCAGTATAAGATAGCAGGCAATATCCCATCATTTTATATTTGAAATGACTAGATGTAATCATAAGATCTATGCTAACAGTTATTTATCATGCAATTCTCAGTTTTGAAACTCTATTCTGGCATTACGTTTTCCAATCAAATTTGATACCCCCAAAAAGAATTCAATGTCAATTCTGTGTCCTTAATTACTGTTATCTATCCATAACACAGATTTTTCCTCTCATAATACCTCACACTCTGTAAGCCCTAGCGTCTTAGCGGTTTTATAACCTTGTATCATGTGAAAAAGCACGTCAGGTTATATGACGGTTCCGTATAGGATACAGGTTCGATTCCTGTCTGAGGACGAATATTTTCTATGAAAATTTCTCGGACATTCAGGCCGACAAATGTTGTTAATACTGTTTATTATAAACAGAGCATAAACGTAAAAAATGTCTTAAAATACACACACACACACAAATATATATATATATATATATATATATATATATATATATATATATATATATATATATATATCACAAATCGGTAGAATTATTGATGTTAGTAGATTTATGGAAACTCACCACTGTGATTTTATTTATGATGTCTTGTTTGCATTTCTGTCTCTTGCGAGACAAATGATTGATTTCTAACATAAATCTTTCCTTACAATAATAGAAAAAAATCTCTAGTCGTTTGACAAGTATATCTTTTTTAAGCTTTTATTCTGTACCTTTGAAACATTTTAGATATTAAGAGTTATAAGAGTCAAATCTAAACCGATGGTCACTTGCCAAATTATTGTGTTGCACATAAAAAGGAGGTAGTTAAACAACCAGCAGGCATGAAATATATATATATATATATATATATATATATATATATATATATATATATATATATATATATATACGAATGTGTGCGTGTGTTTCATTGAAAAATATACACATATATATATATTTATTTTTATAATAATCCTTTCTCTCCCTCTAATTAAGCTGCTGTATTTTTTTCAACTTATCCATCGCAAAACATTTCAAGACACATTCCTGTACATCTTCACATACATGAATATTTTGTTGGCAAAACCAATATACTACACCATGAAAATAATAAAGAAAAACTTAAAATTCTCGAGACTGAACAATTTTTTTACGAGTGCGGCAACAACTCATTGAAATCAATTAAATAATTTTAAATAATTCTGACACAGAGCGTTCAGGAGAGTTTTCAAAAATCAGCATCATCAGTATCACAGTTACAATAAATTTGTCTTTTCATTACACTTGCTGATGATGATCTCTGTGGAGATCGAAAGAGCCTAATTTAAAAAAAATTTCTACGACGCCTTCCTTGATGAATTTTACCTTAACATTAAGATGCTAATTAGAGAATTAAAGAATCTACTTAATAAGTGTAAGTAAATTGTGTCCAGAGCAGAAACAAATAATTGTGTTAAAAGATCAAACTTTTCTTAGGATAACGTGAGGGAAGGATTTTGTGGAAAGCAATGATCTTGGGAAAAGCAATGATGTTCTGGAAAGCAGTGATGTTGTGGAAAGCAATGATCTTGTGGAGAGCAATGTTGTTGTAGAGAGCACTGATGTTGTGAAGATCAATGATGTTTTGTAAAGCAATGGTATTGTGGAGAGCAGTAATTTTGAGGAAAACAATGTTCTTGCGGAGAGCAATGATCTTGCGGAGAGCGGTGATGTTGTGGAGAGCAATGATGTTGTGGAGATCAATGATGTTTTAAAAAGCAATGGTATTGTGGAGAGCAGTAATATTGAGGAAAGCAATGTTCTTGCGGAGAGCAACGATCTTGCGGAGAGCAACGATCTTGCGGAGAGCAGTAATATTGTGGAGAGCAATGATGTTGCGGAGATCAATGATGTTTTGTAAAGCAATGGTATTGTGGAGAGCAATGATGTTTTGAAAAGCAATGCTCTTTCTGTGAGCTGTGATGTGGAGATTAATGTTTTTGTGGAAAGCAATTATGTTATGGAGAACAATGATGTTTTGGAAAGCAGTGATGTTGTGGAGAGCAATGATGTTGTGGAGAGCAATAGTATTTTGAAAAGATTGATCTAGCAGAAAGCAATGATCTTGCAGAGATGATTCCTTGCTAAAATGTTTTCTGTAATTGGTACTTAGATCTCTCTCTGCCCGACTTCTGGTTCCTGGGGGAGGCCAATAACATCGGATTGACCCAAGCCTCGTGAGTGAAATTGGACAGATAATAATATTTCGGAGCCGTCGATGGTTGTGCTAGCACGAAGTCACAAGTCATCGTGACCGAGGGTTGGAGTTTACTGGACTCATTCAGGATGGTGATCACGCCAGATAATCTGCTCCCTTTCAGAAAATGTAAGTTCCTCTCAGTATAGTTGCAGTATAAACCAGAGATGGTCTCTGAAGGTGCTGAATAAACACAAATGTACCAGAGCTGGCTTCTGCAATAGGGATTGGCTAGCTGACCTAGTCGACAGACATACTCGGATACGGAGGAACGGAATCTTTCACATTTACAGCATATGCATATCAGCGCATCAAGCAATAAATTAATCTGAGGTTAAAATTTGAGACGGTCGTTAGCATGTATATATTTGTATTGTTCTTCTTATAGATGTGTTTAGAGAAGATCATAGACCAGAGAATTAAATTAAAGAAGACAAAAGCTATGCCAAACAAGCGACTGAAGAGTTTATGTGTGTTTATTGAATTAATACTTCTAATCAATGATGAATTCTATAGTGACTTATTATGATTGCAATGTATCAAATTTATTAGAAGGTAACGTGATTGAAACAAAAACAAAAGCCATGAAAATAAACGCAGGCACACAGGACTCGCTGGGGAGTTTCTTCATCACCAGTCAAACTCTAAATCTGCACCAGTCCTGCTAAGTAGACTTGCCTTCAAAGAGCTTCCTCACGTTAAAAGCCTACTCGTTCTAATGCCCACTTCCGACCTCAAATGTAACGCTTATATTCGTGTGATCGTAAAAGGATGCCTCGAGAATAGTCGGTTCCTTGAACAACTTCAGAAAAGTCTCCTTCAATCTTGCTCTAATTTTCAAGAGTCATATTCGACCATCATTGGAGTATTACTGCTATTTCTTCACTAGTACTGAACAGTCCTCAATTTGTAGCCTCGATGGATTTCAAAGGCGATTACGTGGCCTTGAAGCTTATTAATTATTCTTCACCCTGCATCAGTTGTGATTGGGGCCCTCAGATTGATTGGAAAAGATTGCAGTAGACTCATTGCAGGGATTCCTGCTAACCCATGTCTTAAATAAATACAAAAAATAGTACTCATAAGTACACCTCACACTTACGAATGGCTTTATCTATGCAAAATATGCATGGACATAGTTGTGTTTTTTTTTCTTCAAAAAATGCTCAGTGAAAAATGTCGTTCTATTTCTGACCTTACGTCACTAGTTGGGACCCGGAAATGAGTTTACACCAGAAATCAAAACAAAAATAAAATGATAATAATCACAGAATAAATGTGAAAAGCCTTATTTGAAGAAAGAAAAACAAGAAAAAATATACCAGGAAAGAGTTAAAGAAAAAGGAGTCATTAAAAAAATAATCAAGAAAGAAAAATTAAGAAGAATTCTTAAAATGAAAAGAAAGAAAGGAAAAAAAAAAGAAGAATTGCAGCTAAAAGAAAAAAGAAAAGAGGAAAAAAGAAAGACGAGACAAAATTCAGGAAAAAAAGAGAATAGGAAGAAAGAAAGATTAAACGAAGTTAAGGAAAAAAGGGAAGGGGAAGAAAGAAAGATGAGACAAAATTAAGGAAAAAAAATGAAAAATTTAAAATCTAAATTTTCAATTTGTTTTTCATTAATTTCTGTCTTGCTTTACTTTTTCATTCTTTTTCTTTAAAAGCTCTATATGAAAAAAAGAAGTGAAGATGAGAAAGCTGCAAGAATTACCAAAGAAAATAAATTATCGAAGTTATTTAGAAGAAGAAAAGAAAAACATAGCGGGCAAAAGCCTAATAAATAACGAATCAACATCAAGCCAAAAGCATGTATTTGCTGATACATAATCATTTTCATGCGCATTCATTTGTGGTAAAAATTGACATGATTTATGCAAATGTTTTCAAATTAAGATTACGCCTATTGATTATCGCCAATTGATGAATGCGCGTGTTGGCGCGGATGATTATTATTTGGTGCTTCTGATTTTCCTTCGACAAATTACCGATTGATTAGACCGACGCCGCTGTCCTGTTTATTAGCGTAATCAGACATTTTTAGAGATATTTTTGAGACATTAGAATTACTTTTCTTCTTCTCTTCCTCGTTCTTGTTGGGCCTCAGTATTTCCACATTAGATTTTACGAATTTTGTAATAATTTTAAGTTAGTAAAACGTGGAATATTAAATACAAATGATTTCTTAAAACGTTCATAATTTAGCTGTTCGTCAGTGTAGTGACAGAAATGTATTTAATATAATTTATTTCTAAAATTTGCTATTTTCCTTTATTGTTGAGCATCTGGCTTTAGGGGAAAAACACATCAAAGTAATGGTTCTGATTGAGAATTAAATTCGTTCTTCTAATATCGTGTAATCTTTATTATTCTGCTCGTAGATAATACAGTCTATTCAACAATGTAGATTTAGCAAAGTAGGTAATAGCTTGAGGCAGTCATAATCATTAACAGAAAACACGACACATTGTGGAATCACGTGACAAAAGACACGTCTTCAGGCGCTGATATAGGTTTGACCAGTTAACATCTATCCAAAGTGTTCACTCTGAGGCATATCTTCCTTGCAAATTGTCATTGTCGTAAATGATCACATGATCTGAAAGAAAATTGCTCTACATTCCACACCCAAATAAAGTGAGGGCGTTAGGACAGAGAGCTGTGATGGTTTTTTCTTTTAACCATGGCGACAGCTAGATTATATTATATTAC